GAAATTACTTTGCAATGAGTGAAGAACGATGCGAGATCTAAAATACGAATGACTATCTCTAGTGTTTAGAGGAAAGTAAACTCTCACAATGACTATCTAGGTACTCAATGTGGTGCTCAATTTGGTCATCCATACTCATAATGTCACTCAATATGATTCACTTAAATGTTTGTCGTAATTCGACTACATGTGGGAAGGCATATAGATATAGTTGAGAGATACTAAAAAAAAATTATGGCATTAGATGTTATACAAACCTTTGAACCAAAGCCCTAATATAACTTGCATTTCACATGTTGTAATTGATCTAATTATAGCGGAAAACTCACATGTGTTATGATGGTATTAAAGCAGGTAATTTTACATGTTTGTCTTAATTCAACACATGCACATGCATGTTATATAGAAGGTGCTTTGAAAGATATTTGAAAGAAGAAAGAAAGAAAAAATAAAATTCTGACATTAGATATTACCCAAGCCCACACGATATCCTTCGTACAAAAATCCCATTTGTGTACCGAAAAAACTGAGTTGCTTAAAGACCATTGTTTGTTATTATTCTCCATAGAGTTCCAAAGTAAGTACCACAAGAGAAAAGGGACAGTGAGAAGTGGAAGTACTGAGAGAGATGCATGCCATAATAGCATTTGTGGTCTGCTCACTGTCCACATTCCTGGTCCTTGCTCCCTCAACTCCTGCTATTTTTGGAAATCACAACATGACAAAAGAACTTGCCCACTTTGTTTAATTATTTTCTCCATCTCTTTTGCATTTTTTTTCCTCTAAAATGAGACATTTTTTGTAGGTTCCGAGTACACCATACCGATGTACCATTCAATATACATAAGAGTAAGACATGTATAAATTTTTTTTAAATTTCAAAAAAGCATTGCAGTAAGTTGGTCAAAACCACATGTCTTATGTATATTAGATGGAACAACAACTAGCTGGTGTACCTGAAACATGCAAAAATTTCTCTCCCAGAAAAAATGTGTATCAAACTCCTCAAATTACAATTCAACTTCATGCCCCCTAAGCCATCATTGATATAATCTTTAGCCAGCAAATGGGAAATATGAAAAGCTCGAGCAACTTCATTTTCAGCTATTCGTTTTCTGATTGCTTCATACATAAGGTTAAACAAGCAATTAATTAACAACTAAAAGTTGGGTAAGGGGAACTGTGTTTTCTAAGGGAAATGAGAAATTTTTTGGGTAAGGGAAACTGTGTTTTTTAAGGAAAAATAACCAACAAATTTTCTTTTGTGCCCCTCATAATTGTAAGTCGCTTTCAGTTCCTTTGTTTGATTTTTCTTCCACCCTCAATAGCCAGAACCTAATGTGGTGCTTATTTATTTGACAGCTAGCCAGAAAAATAATTCTTTATTTTCTGGGTGGCATGGGTCAAAATAAATATAAAAAATTCAAGACTGGTGTGCATCACATACCAATCATTTGAACCAGTAGCTGGCTAGATCGAGCCATATATGGTTGCAGTACGAAAGTTATTAGGTCAACCTTTCTGGTAGCTAGTAATTATAACAAAAGTGGAAGCAAGATCAAAACATATTCAAACCGTAAGGGCATCCACTGTACAGCACTCTACATATCGACAAGCAAAGGTTCTAAGGCCAACTTAGGTGATATTTTAATTCGGGTGATGAGTTATAATACTATATGGATCTAGTCCAGGGAAAAATGACCTTAACTTACAAACTGAACAGTTTCCGATTCAAATTCCCATGACACTTTGGTAGTTTGTGTAAAAAATTCTCCTTCTTTTTGTATAATTAGACTATCACTTGCATTAAAAAAAGAATTAAAAAAAAACAGGGCTTTAAATGTGAAATCAATGCTAAAGAACAATATTAAACCTACCAAGAAACAAGAAACAGAGTTAAATTCTTGGTAACTAGCCTTCCAACGCGACACATGTTTGACGTTGGGACTTTTTTTTTCTTTAATTAATTTGTATGGCTTATTTATGTTATTTCCCATACTTCATTGTTTGTATTTTTTCATATATAGGTTGAAACATAGGAATAAATGTTCGTACGTACATATGTCCGGTGTGATTGCGAAGAGTATTATTAATGGGGTTGTTCCGGCAATGAATTCATACAAGCACCTTTTTGGATGAACGATTGAAGTACTTCGATTATTATTATTCTTTCAATGCGAGTCCATTAAAAACGGATCTTCAGACCCTTCGGCAATGTTCACCATGTCCATTATTGAGACTTTCTGTGGGGTTTTGATGTTCTGCTACACCTTCCAACAATCCATAGCTCCTCTAACGAAAAATGTTATTTTGTTAAACAGTTTTTTATAATATAAGATACGTTTATATTGTCAAACTGTAAATTTTGTGCGATCAATGCTAAGCTCGATCGATTTGTAAGATGTATCGTGTATAAAACACACGTTCATTATGGGAGCTATGTATGAACTAATTAACTAAAGGGGAAATTGTTATAAAATAACTTATTGTAGTAGTATGTATTTAAATACAAAGGGAAGAGCTAAACGAAGGGAATTTGGTCGAAAACTTAGCTCCCATTGTTTGGGACAACATATCCCATCACCAAAACCGTGTTACTTCCATCATTTTCCTAGACAAATATGGCGGTCCAATAATAGTGTTCCATGTAAATCCTTGACTAGTATAGTAGTCCTACATCTTGAATTAGGTATAACACTAACCTTTTCTTTGAATAATTGACCAACTTGTTCCCACGAGACATGGCATACTTTTTATGATTAGCGGCTATTAATTTATTGGGTCATTGTTTCATACTTCCTTTGCAGCACTGTCTCGAGGGCGGATCTGGGGAAACTGTTTGTCGGGCATAGGAAAAATGCAATGATGCATCCACACAACAGAAGAAGAAAAAACATGACTTGGTTCTTCAGTCGTTGGTAGCCCAGCAGCCTGCAGCCATTTTGTAAAGTAGCTCTGAAATGAAGACCATGGATCTCTCCCGACTTTTGGTCATTATGCATTGGTCATGTTAAAGTTTTGTATCAGATTAATGTTGAGATTTGAATATAGTTTGGAAAAGAAATGTGTAAACAAGAGAAAACACCGAAGACAAATGAAATGACAAACATTTTCAGCTATACGAACTCTATAGCGGACGTGTGTTGGCAACGCTAGGGTATGATCAGACCCAACCTTCCATTTGGTTCTCTAATTTTCTTTTTTCTACTGTTTGTAAAGTTTTATATGATGTTCCGAATTTAGGAATTCATTGTAGATTCTCATTGTAATTTCTTTTGATTTTTTTTTAAAAAGACATACATTCAGCCATTTTGGCCTAATATATATCAATTAGGTAGACGACGAAAACGCTACATCTTTGATTTACATGAGAATGCTTAGGTCAGTTGCCCTAGTGCAAATGAGTGACTCAATTATTGATATGTGTTAGCGAGTGAGAGCAAATAGGTCGAACCGGCAACTAACCCCAGCATAATTCACATTGCTCCATCCACATCCATTAAAACAATAATTGTAATTGACTTTATTTATTTTGTATAGTATTGTTGCATCCTTGATTTTAGATGAATCACAACCATATGATTCTGTGGTGTATATAGGTGCATCTGTTTGAATACAACCCCCCATATTGACCTCCAAACACTAGTTTGGCAATTTGCATGACAAACAAGTGGAGTGTCTGTATTGTGCCACATCAACTTATTGTGTTGTTGGAGAAGCATGGTACGTTTTTTGGATTTGTATTATTATTGGACCAAGGTAAAGTGGAGGCACAAACTCAAAATTCAAAAATGATCGAGGTTAATTTTTAGGCTAATTTTTTCAACCGGAAATTTTTTATTGAAATTTTGACAAAATCTTTAACAAACTTCCCAAATGATATATAACAAAGCATATTAACCAAAAAATTATATATACTAATAACTTAACAATAACACAACTTCTATTAAAAACAAAGAACTTACTAAATCGTAACATATCGGTTTTAAGAAACTTCTAATTTTTAAATCCCTAAATTAAAATTTAGAAACAATCACAAGAAAAATAAGAGTACAAAAGAGAGAAGAAAATGAAAAAGAAAAAAGAGAAACGAAGAGAGTTGGGCTGGAGAGTCACGGGCTTGCAAAGAAGGAGAGGAGAGAATCTTCTTTTTTGGCTTTTGACCTTTTGTCTTAGGTGATAAAAACTGGATTGAGTAAGGATTAATGGGCTGGGTCAGACCAAAAAAAAAAAGGGATTAATGGGCTGGGCAATTTTTCTTCAGAAATGCTGGGCTACCTATACAGGGCTGGGCTCGTGCTATGTCAAAGTCTAGGCGTGGAGATTTTTTATGTGTCTTATAATTTGCAATTGCTATAGGTGTAATTATGTGCTACATCCAATGTACAAGTGCATTGTTTTATGAACGGTCATATTTAAATCTTCAAATTTTTAATCTTTTAATCAAACGGCTAAAAACTACAGTGCACCGGTGCATTGCATGCATATATACAGAATGAGTATGCATGTTGGTCCAACTTAGGGTGTGAGTTTCAACAAGTTAATCCCTTCGAAAACTTGGGTCTTGAGAAGGTGATTAATTTTGGCTCCGTAATTTGCTCCATGAGTTTTATCTTTGTGAGGGTTGAGAGAGAGGGAACCACAATGTAAGAGGATTATGGGAGGTTTAGAGTATTTATTTTGGCACAATTACCATCAATAAACTTGCATCATTGTAATTCATACTGAAACAGAAATGATCCAAAAATTGGATTTTAAACCTTGAAATTTCAAATCAAAATCGCATGATTAACTTACACAAAAACACAACATTAACTTACAGAGAGATAATGAATACTTGCAGAGAGAATTTCTCTCCATTTTTCTTTCTTTGTTCCTCCTTTTTTTTTCCTTTTTACACTGTTTATATAGCATCCTTGGCTGACATGAATACTTCGGGGAAAGAAAAAGCTCCCACAAGAACAATATCAGTCACTCACTTACCTCAAGAATCAGATCAATTACTCACTCTGCCCTGCACTCTCTTTCTTTATCCACTGTTTGACAGGTCTTCTTGTATTACGTACTCTCTGCTTCCTTGAGCTGGAACTCCTCTGCTCATGGGTATTAGGCCTATCTGAGGAACCACCAGAATGCATTTCTGTGGTGACTGGGGGTTCTCTTTGTTGTTCTTCTGCAGATTCTTTGGCTGTCTCGGATGTGGATGATGCAACCAGTGGTGGAAGTAACATGCCAGGCAAGACGACAATATTTTTTTTAGGTTCAATTAAACCACTGTTTTCTTGCTGTAACTTCAATAGGGCCACAAAGTTTTGTCGCCGTGCATTCTCTGACTCAGACTGCAGGAGTTTCTCACCGTAATCATCTTCATTATCGTTCAGACTCTGAAAACAGTCAAATAGTCATTCAAATTCAGTTAAAATATAAACAAAACACAATTCATGTGTCAAATATTGAATGAATCAATATTAGAAACCTACTGCTTATTAAAAGAAACAAGAGATTACAGAATCCAAACGATCGAATTAACAAAGGTAAAAACTTCAGAATATATGGATTTGTTTCTAGATATGCATCAACTAGGTCTTCTATTATCAGGACAGGTTTTACTACCATCTTCAAAAGTTTCAAATGGCCATCTAAAAACAAATTTAGTTTTGGTTCTCCACGCATTTCAAAGTAATTGAGTATAGCTTTGGTATGGGGCAAAAATGGATTGACGCAACCAGAATGAGCCCTATCACAATTGAATACTTAATACAAATATAAGAACATGGATTTTCAAAATCTAAGAAACAGTTTTCAATTGTAAAACTTATAATTTATGGTTAGATGACGTACCAAATGTGAGGAATGATTGCCAACCAAGTCGAGCACGTGTTCAAAATCCTCAGCATGAAAAACTTTACGGCAAACTGGACAGTTTCCCATACCCCCTTCCACAGCTCCACGTGTATCTGACAAAAAACCATCATTCATTAGAAATTAATATAATAGAAGAGAGTTAGAACTACAAATGTCTCAGAAAATGTATAATGTTACACATGACATGGCAATTGTAGTAACACAGTACATTTAGCTCGGCCCATACAAAGGACACAATGCAAATGGTTCTATCCCAGCCAACAATTATATTTTCCTTTATTATAAATAAAAAAGCATATTAAAAGAGCATCAAGGCTCGTGAACCACAAATACATGGCAAAATATTGAATAAAAAAATAATAATAAAAAAGGGAGAGAAAATCTAACATAGGATAAAAAGAAGTATTTGTCTTCTCATAGAAAATATGATGAACTTAGGTACATAAAATAATGCAGCACACCCCCAAATGCAGGAGTATTAGACTCCAACCAAAGGCACCAGGAATCACAACTAAAGGGTAACTGCATTATATAATACTTGATTCTCCTGCCTGACAAATCTCCCATAACACCGCCCATACAAATTAGAAATATAAGCTACAAGGATCAATTCTAATCCCAGATAATGAGAAGACTGGAACCCAAAATTTCCATGTCAATGTATAATGGAGGAAATGACTAACAGCTTCCACCCTGCTGGCCACACCAATCTGAATCTGCTTTTGTTCAGGTTGTCAATGTTAAGATCCTCCCTAAACAAGTTGTCCATGAGAAAACACCACTGTTAGAGGATCCGCATACTAGAACGGCTTCCATGCAAAAGAAGAATGATTTTTATCCAACAAAGCCCAACAAAAAGAGCACACCTCAAATGCTTGCATCAACTACATTCCAGAGCTCCCACACTCACCACCAACTCTAAAATAATGTAAAGCTTTCTAGAAACTTTCAACAATTTCAATCTCCCAATCATTACACTTTCTAGAAAAAGCAAGATTCAACTAAACCACACCTCCAAATTGACTGAAGGGTCCCCTACCAAAGCAATTTCATCCACTGCTATGGTAAATCGTAAAGGAAAAGTATCTTTCCAGCCTGAGTACCCAAAGCCACAGAGCCATACAAAACATCCTATTTAAACAAGCTGCAACCCTGCAACCCAGAGTCAACAACACTTCCCTTGTACACTGGCCAAACATTCTGTGACAAAATCCCCAAATCCTTCCAGACACTTCTCCTCAAACCTACGCCATGAGTCGTTATCACTTCCCTTGTGCTCCAGCTGCCAAAAAATCTCCACATTTACAAGCCACCACACACTTACTGATTCCTCTACACATAATAATGTCATGAGTATTTGCTCAAGAAATTCTAGTTGAATTAGTTTTGACTTTCTGATGTTAAACCACCCATTGAAGAAGGGAGCACACCCAATCCCAATCAACCAAATGGTGTAGGTTCATTGCGTAACGCAGCCTGAGGAAAGCCTCTAGGAAATTTTTCCAATGATTAGCATGCATAAGAAACTGGAACCAGAAACAGAGACATTGTACATAGAGAAGCTAGATGAAACACTATGGTTCCCCCTTAGATGTGTAGTGATGCTTTTTTTCCTGCCAGACGGTTCTCTACCCTTTCTAAAATTGAAAGTCTTCTGAGCAAAATAAGACCCCAAAACCAAACCTAAATATGCCAAAGGCAGAGAACTAATTCTGCAATCCCAATCAGCAGCAATCAGTAATATGTTCCACAACAGAGAGAAAGCGTACTGGAGTCTGGAAAAAAATTTACTCCTATCCATATTGACCCAGAGATCTGTCATCGCTTCAAATCATAAAATAAGACACCACAAATAATTCATTTGCCCCAATCAGCACCGCCAAAATTAATTAGATACTCTGCAAATAACAGATGTGAAATCTGAAAAGACCTTGCACCATTAGATACCACACCCAAACCATAAAAGAAAACCACACCACTGTGCTTCACGGATCAATCTGCTAAGCACCATCATAATAATATAAACAAAAGACAGAGGATGAACCCCTTGCCAGAGACCCCTTAAGCAACCAAACAAACCAGGAAGGGGAGCCATTCACAAAGGAAGAAAGTCTAACAGTAGAGGAATGCATAAATTGGCTCCAATGGTTCCCAAATATCCAATTTGCAAATAAATAAAAAATTTCCCTGATTCAGTCTACACACTATTGAATCCAAAAATCTGACACTCACCCACAAGGACATTCTGAGATTCCGAGATAATTTTATCATGAACATGCTTCAACTTATTCTTGGGTTCCAAAACTCTCACCCATTATGAACATAACTGTTATAAGAAAAGCTTCCCACAAGCCTCTTTCCAGCCACCCTATCCAAATTCCCAACGAATGTATTATGCTAATTTCAATTCTTAATTTTTTTTTTTTTTTTTTTTTTAAAGAATGCTACTTTGAAACATCAACATGAGAATGCATACCACCCATACACCACCCCGCTCTTCTTTAAAGGGAGTGGGGTGTTACACTCTCTGTTTCTTACAAACAAACAGAAATTTCATAAAAGAGTCAATGGAAGGATACAGTATTTTATGTATCATAAGTGATAGCTCCTTATGAGGATCTAAGTTAAGAACTTATATATCAGTTGTTAGATCAGACATGAATGATTGAGATGTTAGATCCAAGTGCTTTTCCAATCAATTACACTAAACTATGAACTCATTGAATTCATTCTATCATCTTGATGCTTATATATTTGTAAGCTTTTAATTTGTTTTAAATCTTATCTTGGTGTTTTTGTTTTTGTTAATTTTTTGTAAGCTACTCTTTTTGTAAAACCAACCATTCTTAAAAGAATCCCTAATAAAGTTGAAGTAAATAATTTATTATTGCTAAAGTGTCTCCTCAAGCTCCTAGTCATAAATTCAACGTACTACCAAATAACTGTGACCCAACTATACCTTTATGATTTTGCAAGTCTCTAATAGGAGGCACATGTGCACTTGATGAATCACTGGCATTGCTTCTTTCTTCTGTTTGAATCCAATTCCACCACCTAATAATGCACTCACTGCCATATTTTTAAACAAAAGGGAGAACATTAAAACCCAAACCCTTACCTAAAATCAGATACTGAAGAAATATATCTTAAGTGATTGCGTACCTGTGAAAGCAATGGAAACAAGACATCAACTTCATAAATGGCAAAACTTTACTCTGCTCGTCTTCTGGGACCAAAGGATACAAACACAATGGACAATCTCCATCAGGGTGATTCATAACAGAGAGCTTCTCCACTGCTTCCTGGACACGTATGTCAATGAATCAGTCTCCCGATAAGCCAGTCTGGGTGTGTCCATTAAAGTACATATAAGCTCTTCGTTAGGAAGGAATCATGCATATGATCTATCACCATCTGATAGTTAAACATTCATGAACATGCAGAACTAACATAATGTACATAGGTGTTAATCTAAACTCGTACCCTGTCACAAAGGAGAGCAATGTTAATACGTCAAACAATTTTTGCTAACTGGCTAGAGCAACAATTACCTCACAAATCGCCACTAGCATTAAACAAGATGAGAGGTCGCATGCTCTGTCCCGTATCAAATTCGTTAGATGTTTTTGCCTCTGAAAATCAAGACCCTTTGAATCTAAAAGTTCAATATGTGGCGGTTCATTCGGATACTACAACAAAAAATCAAAAAGAAAAGAAGCAAACTTTACTTTCATTAATCTAACACAGATAAAACAAAAAATCAAACATAAAGAACTTTACTTTCATTAATCTATACCTGAGAACCTGCTTGAATTCCAATGACAGCTTCCACAAACTACAAAAACAAAAAGTGCGTATAGTGTATACAAACAATAAGAGATTGTCACCATTTGAAGACAAAAGCTAAGAAAGAAAGAAAAAAATGCAATATTGTAATTAAATAAGACCCTTAGCTCCAACATCTGAAGCCTTTACACTAACAAATTGCGAAAATCACAGAAATTGAAACGTCTTCTTTAACTATTTTCATTTATTTTTCTCAGACTTTCTCAGCAAACAAGTAAAATTCAATTCAGAATTTCAAAAACAATATTTATAAATAAAAAAAAAGAAGCTTGTAGCCGATGAATAAGTTGGAAAAGGAAAGGACCTGCTGTGAAGCGACATCGGCGGTGCGAGGTTTGATGTAGAGGTGGAGATGAGGAGGATACGATTCGAGAACCACACAATCATCGCCGTACACTGCTTGTACGGCCTCCACTTCTGCTGCCACTTCTTCTTCTTGGGCGGCGGCGTCGGCCATTGCTTTACAGAGATTGATGCCGTCGTTCATCTTCTTCTTACAATATTATCACCTGCTTCGCCAGAAATAATATAAATTTTAAATTATTTCATTATTTATTTATTTTCTCTTTGGACTGCCGCGACCGTACCAAAAAAATAATGGAAAATCTTAACTGTACAGCCGCACGGCTATACTCCATACATAGATATTTTATAAGTATAGCCTCCCGACTATACTCTATGAGTTAAATATTTTAACCGCATAGCCGACTCGCTATACTCATTAAATAGAAATTTTAAACGTAAACCCACTCGGCTGTACTCCGTAAATAGATTTTTTTTATCCGTATAACCGTTCGGCTATACACTATAAGTAGACTATTTTGACAGTATGGCCGCGCGGCTATACTATTTAAAAGTATAAAATTAGCTTCTCTACTTTTGTTTTTTGGCCTACTTATTTTATTTAATATATGTAATTAGCTAATATCTTAGTCTTTTTTAATTTCTTTTTTTTTCTTAGTGAATATTTAAATATTTTGCTGATTTAATAAATCACTAAATAAATAGTAATTAATTATTTTATACAAAATTAGTTTGAGAAAATCCAAGTCTCGAATCAAAAACCCTAGCGTCCGAACTTGTTCCAAAACCTTTCTCAAGCCTCGAACCCTATCCATAAGCCTACTATGTTTTAATTATTATTTACTAAGTGAATAATTAGTATTTAAATATTTTATTTATGAAAAAAAATTATTAATCAAGTAATATTATTTATGAAATAATAATTAAAATATTTATTACTAAGTATTCACTAAAGAAATAATAATTAAAATATAATCACTAATGAAAGTCATTAAATAAGGCTAAAATATTATTTAATTACTAATGAACGTACAGTCGCGCGGCTATACACTATAAATAAAAATTTTAAATGTCGCTTGGCTATACTAAATTTTAATTTTAATTCTGAAGTATAGTATCGCCGCGAGGTTGTACAATTTTTAACTTTTATTTTTAAGTATAGCAATGCGGCTATGCGGTTTAAATGCATTTGAATATTTAAATAGTATAGCCGCTCGACTATACTAATTTTTTAATTTTATTTTTAAGTATAGCCGCCCGGCTATAGTTTTTAAATATATCTTGATGTTTAAATGGTATAGCCACCAGACTATACTTTTTTTTATTTTTTCTTTTTAAGTATCGCCGCCCGGCTATACCTTTTTTTATTCTTAAGTATAGTCTAGCCGCACGGCTACGCGGTTTAAGTATATTTGAATATTTAAATAGCACAGCCGTGCGGCTATACTAATTTTTTATTTTTAATATAGCCGCACAGTATAGATCCGATTGTTTAAATAGTATCGCCGGACTACTATTTTTTTTTTTTTTTTTTTTTTCCGACTATAGTATTTTTAAATTTTTAAGTATAGTGTAGCCGGGCAGCTGTACTGTTTAAATATAGGGAGTTTCACTAAAACACCCAAAATGGTGGTTGAAATTATAAAAAAACCCAAGCACTATTTAAACATATAAACACACCCAAAACCCATCATTACACACACTCAAAACCCATTTATAAACACACCCAAAAAGTTGACTTTGGGGTTGATTTTGGGTGTGTTTCTATGTTTAAATAGTGCTTAGGTTTTTTTATAAATACATGTCTAGGATTGAGTTTATTTATAAATTTGTATTAAATATATTCAAATATTAAAATAGTATAGCTGTGCCGATATACTATTGTTTTATTTATATTTTAAGTATAGCCACGAGGCTATAGTATTTTTTTAATTTTATTTGTAAGTGTAGGATAGCGGGCGGGTATACTTTTTAAATATATACATATACATATTCTCTTCTCTCTTCGCTCTCTCCTAAACAACATGTTCACCTCACCACAGCAACGACAACAACGACAATTCCTCCCTATACCAACTTCACAAATTCCAGCTCAAGATCGCTCACTCAGGATTGGATTGGATAAGTCACTAAATCTAAGGTATTGTGAAGGAGGAAATGAAAGTAGATGTGAATGATTTTCCATTTTGGGGGGATTGGAGCATCTACAATCATACTCTCTATTTTTCAATTAAAATTTAGCCAAAAACACACAAAAGCTATTATATGAGCTCTCTATAAAATTTGAACTTCAATCGTACTCCCTAGTTTAGAGTTATAAATACTATAATTTATTTTTAATTCAATATAATTGGTTCATCTCTATAAAAAAATATAGTTAGTATTAATTACAATTTAAAAATATGCATGAAACAAAGTAGCATTAAATCATAGGGAGCCACTAGGGGTCCTTAGAGAGCCCATTGTGGATGCTCTTAGGAGGAATTAATTATAAAGTGTTGCTATAATTTAAATATGAAGTGCCCAAGGCCCATCTTTTTGATAATTAAATATTATATATTATCACAAAGAAAATAAAGTAGAACTTAAAAATAAAAAATAATAATTTACAATAATAATCAGGCTGATTTCTAAAAATAAAAATAAAATATGAAACATAAAATAGAATGTTATAAGATAAATTGAATATATCGAATGTTAGGTTCTAAGATAAATTTAATTTATAGAATTACATGTTCTAATATGAAGATATTCGTATATTTCTATTATCAACTAAAATTACAAAGTTTCGAACTTCAAGTTTTAAAGTATAGAACTTCGGGTTCTAACGAGTCATATAAATAAAACTTGTGGCTATAAATTGAATTTGGTCTTGAACATCAGGTTCAAAAAAATCACATAAAAGTATTGATTTTAAGAAAAATATGTTCAAAACTAAATGATGAATCAAAGGTCTTTCAAGCTCAATTTGATAACAATAGCATAGATATGGTAATTGAAGAACTTTGGGTTCCAATTAGATTGTGTGATATAAAACTACAGGTTCTAATCAAATATAAGAATAATAAAAACTGAAAACCAATGAAATTGAAAGTTCCAATCTTTTGATTCCATTGTGGAAACCAAGATAAAGATAAAACAAAAAAAACAACGTTTGATTCTGAACTTCAGGTTCGATTAACATTTTATATATGTTATGCCATAATTGCAGGTTCTTGACAGGATATGAACTACGGGTTCATATTAATATTAATCTCAATAGACAATTATGAACTTTGGATATATATTAGCGTATACTTGAAACTTCAGTTTGGGTACATATATCAAATTAAAAAGAATATATGGTTTTGAACTGCAGGTCCAAATTTGTAGTAATATGATATTGTTCAAGGTAATAAAATAAAACAACAATAAATTAAAAAAAATAGCATACATGAAATCCAAATAATGTTGGAACTTCAGGTTCTTAACATGATGTATATTTTTCAGCCCAAAATCATAATAAATATGCACTTGTTGAAATATTGTTTTGGAGGTTGACACAATTAGAACTTCAAGTTCTAGAATTTACCTATTTTAATGCACATGTGGCCGGAACTTATAGTTTGGATTAGACATAATAAGAACTCCGGGTTCTAAGATATTTGAACTTCTGGTCATATGAGAAACTTCATGTCCTTAAATATAAATTATTGAAATGAAAACAAATAACTGAATGTAACAATAATAATTAAAATACTAGAATAAAATAAATTGTTTGAACTTTTGGTTCCAAGTTAGAGAAAAATCAAAGAACACTAAGTCTTGATTTGTTTTCTGAGAATTACAGAACTCCAAGGGGGGTGTATTCAATTAGGATTTTAATAGATTGTAATCACATGATTTTAAGGCAATGAATTTCAACAGGATTTGTAATTACAAGATTTTACTTATGATTTTAATAGATTGTAATTACATGATTTACTTAGGACTTTTTTATATTCTCCAAAGAATCAAAAGATTTGCTCTAGGATTTCATATGAAATAAAAATTATATAATAACATGGATTAATTGCTTGGTATGCAAACTCTTGATTATTTTTCATGTTCTAAAGGATTATTTTTCATAAACTTTCATAAATAAACTTTCATGTTGTGTAGTCTCGGTGGTTCTATGACCTCTCTTTGGTCTTTATTAATGAAAGTTCATCTTTATAAAAAATAATAAAAAATTGTAGCACAGTGGTCCTTTTCTCCCAAGGGAACTAGAAGACCCAAACACTATGCATTGAAACCAAGAAATAAAGCACCCTAACAGAAGGAAATTTCCTAGTGATGGATTTCTTCTAGTCATTCCACCGTAAACTATTTATTAGTATTATATAACAAGAAAGATAAGAAAGACTAGTTTAGATCAAAACAAATCTCTATAGTTATTTGAATAGTTATTCTCCAGTTTTAACAAAAGTAATAAAATATTATTTTATGAAATAATAAATAAATAAGAAAAATCATTCCTAAAGAATGAGGGAGTGTGCAACAAACCAAAAACACAAACTATCTTTACAGATTGGTTTCTTCTTCTGTTTGTTCCACAACAAAGCAACACAAATATACATGGATGTATGTAGGCTTGTGCCCACAGCAAAGCAACATAGACAATGCAAATAGAGACAAAAAAAAAAGTATGATAGTATATAGGAGAACAAGTATGTGAAGAGAAAAGATGAGAACCCTCTTCACTCCTCTTCACTTCTCAAGTCTGTTCTTCTCCCCCTAAAACAAATCAACATGAGAATCAGATGTAATAGGGTGTGATTTTTTATGGGGTTTGGTATTTATATCATCCACTGAAAAGTCTTATAGAATACATCATTTAATGAAATATCTCAAAATCGGTAAGTTTTTGAATACCACCGTACTTTTTCTAATATTTTGAAAGTCCTAATTGAATACCACCAGACTTGCATTGATGATTTTAAAATCCTAATTGAATACCATCAGATTTTTATTGATTACTTAAAAATCATAATTGAATACCACTAGACTTTTAAGCTTCAAAAAAATCTATTAAAATCCTAATTCAATACACCCCCCCAAGTCCTTGTATAGATATTATATGGACTGAGAACTAAGAGACTTTGGGTCTTTGTTTAATTGTATAATTTAAGGACTTCGAGTCCTTGCATAAAATAAAAATGAAAC